GTGTGGGACGTGGGACCACCTGGGGCAGAGCTGCGGGGTTGCTGCCGTGTTGGCCCCAGGCGTGTCCGATTCAGCCGCTGCTGGTCAGTTTGAACAGCGGCTGAATCTGGACACCAGTTCTGACTTGCATACAAATTCAACTTAACAACAAACCTACAGTCCCTATCTTGTACGTAACCCGGGGACTGCCTGTATACAATTTGTTGATAGGATGGCTCTGCAGAGCCACAGTGATGGTAGCTCCAGGAGACAGCTCAGCCTGGGACTGAGCAGTCCCGGCTCGTGCCAGCTCCGGGAGCCACCCGTGCTGTGCAATGGCAGTCAAAAAGGCAAATAGGTTGTTAGGAATGATTAAAAAAGGGATAGAAAATAAGATGAATATCTTGCTGCCCCTATATAAAACTATGGTACGCCCACATCTTGATTACAGCGTACAGATGTGATCTCCTCACCTCAGAAAAGATATTTTGGCATTAGAAAAGGTTCAGAAAAGGGCAACTAAAATGATTAGGGTCCCATATGAGGAGAGGCTAAAGAGACTGGGACTTTTCTGTTTAGAAAAGAGGAGACTGAGGAGGGATATGATAGAGATATATAAAATCATGAGTGGCGTGCAGAGGGTGAATAAAGTAAAGTTACAGGGGATAGCCGCGTTAGTCTGTTACAGAAAAAAACAGCAAATGGTCCGGTAGCACTTTCTAGACTAACAAAACATGTAGATGGTATCATGAGCTTTCGTGGGTACTGAAGAAGTGGCTGTGCCCACAAAAGCTCATGATACCATCTACATATTTTGTTAGTCTAGAAAGTGCTACCGGACCATTTGTTGTTTTTAAAGAAAAGTTATTTACTTGTTCCCATAATGTAAGAACTAGAGGACACCAAATGAAATTAAAGGGTAGCAGGTTTAAAACTAATAAAAGAAAGTTCTTCACACAGTGCACAGTCAACCAATGGAACTCTTTGCCAAAGGAGGCTGTGAAGGCTAGGACTATAACAGAGTTTTAAAAAGACCTAGATAAATTCATATAGGTTAGCCAGGGGAGAAGGAATGGTGTCCCTGGCCTCTGTTTGTCAAAGGCTGGAGATGGATGGCAGGAGACAAATCGCTTGATTGTTGTCTTCGGTCCACCCCCTCTGGGACACCTGGCACTGGCTGCTGTCAGCAGACAGGATACTTGGGTGGATGGACCTTTGGTCTGACCCAGAATGGCCGTTCTTATGTGTCTCTGTGTTTTAAATGTACTAAGAGCCGCAGGGCTTTTACTACATTTAAAATGCAGAGGCACAGCAGTCCGTGTAAGCCAGGACTGCTCGATTCTGGCTAGCGCCGAATCCAGCAGCTCCTGTTGGTGGCAGCCAGCCCTGTCTGCTGGAAACGGGGGCTGGTCCTGAGCAGACTCTGTTCGCATTGGACAAGGCTGGCTGCCACAAACGGGCTGCTTGGTGGTAGCAACCCCTATTCACAGGGGGCGGGGAAGGGGCAGCTCCCCACTGGGGCCCCTACGGACAGGGGCTGCTTCACAGCAGCCGTCCCTATCTCCTCTCTCCCCCCGCCTCCCCTGCCCACCATGCCGTCTCTGAGAGTGGCAGCAGAAGAAGGAGCAGGTAGCACCCTGGAGATGGTGCTTTGGGGAACCAGCTTTTAAGCCAACTGCTGCCCCAGCACCAGCTCCTGTTCTTCCCCTTGCTGCTGCTTATTGAGGCAGCAAGGGGGGGTGCCACTGGGAGCAGGGCACTACTTAGGTAGTGCCCTGCTCCCCTGTGTTCCCACTGTGGCCACTTCAGCCTTTGAAATGTACAAGAGCCATGCTGATAGAGGCAGCAAGGGAAGGGGGAAGTCAAGTTACTGCTCAGCTGTCTGATAAGCTTATGCTTATCGGATAGTCTTCTAGTCACTTTCATCCCTAGTCTGTTGTAAGCATTGTTATATGTACCATTCCATTGTGTTGATGTGCTCAATAGCGTTTACATTACACTCAAACTGTGATGTTAACTGATAATCTTGGTTACAATAGAAAGAAAGACAGAAAGAAAGATCCAGCCAAGCAGGGAATAAATTGCCATGACATGTTTCAAATTTAACTAAACATTTTTCTTTTTTTGTGTGCAGTCCCTGACATTCATTTCCGATAGCCGGGTTGACACATATGGTAGCTAAGGGAAGCATATGGAGTCCCTGGGTGTTGTAGAGATTCTCCTTGAAAATGAAATTTAGTGTACTGTACATATACAGCAGTTTGTCTGAAGCAGCAGTGTGGCTTATTTTGAAGGATTGGAGTAATCTTAATAGAGAACCATTTTCTCTTTAATTTCAATACAAATTTTATTTGCCTGACAATTTTGTTCTGACTTTAAGATGCTTCAGGGGGTAGCTGAGTTAGTGTGTACAGGATAAACTTAAACAACAAATGGTCTGGTTTATAGTCTACCACTATAAAGTCCTACCAGACCCTTTGTTGTTTTTTAAGTTTATCTTTTATATGTTGTTCATTGTTTAAGTCTGGCCTATACCCCTGTACTTAGAAGTCTAACTGGTTTGCTTAGGGGTGTATTTATTTATATCTGAAATATTTACACTAGTAAAACATGAATATGGATGTACAAAAGCTTCAGAAGGGTAGTCAAGTTAGTCTGTAACTGGAAAAACTTAAAAAAACAACAAATCGTCTACAGCACCTTTAAAGACTAACAAAACATGTGGATGGTATCATAAGCTTTCATGGGCACAACCCACTTCTTCACATGACTGGAGTATTGAAAGTCTAGATTCAAGAATAAATAAGGGAAGGCGAGGGTGGAAAAAGGAGTGTGTGGGGGGAGGGAGGATAGTGAATTAGGTAGTTCAAGTTACAAGAAGCTGACAACCAAACAAAGGGTACTTAAAGAGGTGCAAATTGTTCTTAAGTCATTAGGATGTGGAAGGTATATAGTTATACTAGTACAACAATGATTTCCACCAGTACGGAATAATGTACCATTATAGCGATATAACTGCATTCAAGGGTGTTAGACTACTCAAACTATACTAATATAGATAAAATGGTACAACTTCCTAGTGTAGACAAATACCAAGCATATATAGCAAAAGATATATAATTGTTTTATTATCTTTTGTTACTGTTTAATGTATGCACACCTTAAATATTTTTCACTTCCATATTCTTCTTGTTTCAGCAACACCATGGAAGTTGGAGCAGTTGCAGATCTCAGACGTATAAAAAATGCTATTGGTGTGGCACGGAAAGTGATTCAGCACACTAAGCACACGTTATTAGTGGGCGAGTCAGGTAAATATTTCCGTTATTTCTGAATCTTACTCTTGTCTTAATTATCACTGTTGAGTAAAGAGGCTTATGATTGATCAATCTTGATATTGAGGGTATCCTCACCATTATTCATAAGAATGCTGTTAAGTAATCCAAATGCATTTATCCTCCTTTAAAAGTATCAAATATCTACAAATTATCAGGGTTTTTTATTCTGCTATTTCTGCTTTAATTAAATGAAGGATTTATATTCCCTCTACAGACTCAGCTGCAATGATAATATCTCTGAAAATACAGATACTAAGTACAGATGTTTCGCCACCATAAGGAACTATGTAAATAGAAGCTACTGTTTGCTAATATTACTTTTAAAATACAAGGCCAGCTTTGTTAAAAAACGAAGGCAGTATTGGTACCTACGTTTATTTTAAAGTTCATTTTCATATTCAGTGAGCACAGTCATTGTATTTTGCAGTTTAAAAACATACATTAAAACTTCCTGCCTCAAAGAGTTTGTAAATAGATTAGGTACTGTACAGGTGGGCACAACACACTGGGTGGTGATAAATTCTATAAACATTGGAGGTTTCATCTTTTAAGATAGCATAATACTTTATTGGTGGATTAATATATTTAGACTTTATGGAAGAAAATATTTCTAGGAAGACTATGAATAGAGAATGGAAGATTAATTGATTTAAGGGTTTTTTAAGTGTAGGGGGCTGCATGGAGGAAGTCATGAAGGCAAAGATGAAACTTAAAAAGAGATGATGTCATCAGAGGAGAGGAAGGTGAGTTTGGCAGCAGCATTTTGGATGGAATGGGGAAATGAGACAAGTCATAGAAGATTTTGTTGTAGTTGATGTAAGGACTCATTTACGTCTGATGAAGGAAGGCTGGAGTTTAAGATGCTTTATAGAAACTTTTGATTTGATCAGGAGGAGGTCACTAATGGTAATGGCCATGGTAGGAGGAGTATCCATAACATGTAAGAGATTCAGGAGGGAATGAGAAGAGTGGGAAGTAAAGATAGTCACAGAAGAATTTGTGCTTTAAGGTAAAATGGAGGTTTGGGATGGGGTAAAGTAATAGATGTTGGGAAATAGCAGCACAATCTGGAATACTAGGAATTAAGTCTGATAATGACTGAGAACTAGGGAGATTTATTACATGTGGGTATAATTAAGGAACTGGAAGCTGCTAGCAAGATAGCTTTACAATGGGAATTCAGGGTATAAAAAGGAAGTAGGGAACTTTTTTGGGGGGTGGAGGTCACCAGCCCACAGATACATCAGTTGGGTGCCACACAAGTGAGAACCAAAAAAAAAAAAAAAAAACCAAAAGCACACACACATACCCCTCACTCCTCCTTCCCCCAACTAAGAAGCAGAAAGACACTTCCCCACATTCCTCTGGCTTTGGCTAATAGATTTTGTCGAGAAAAAGCCTCCAGGCAGTGCTGTAGTTTACCAGCAAGGGGCAGACGGAGAGGCAGCACCCAGAGTCACTTCTTCCTCTTGCCAGTCAGAGCTGGTGGGTCAGATCCAACTCTGGTTTGCCTGACTGCAGCCTGTGTGGCTAGGGACTTTTTCCCCAGAGCAGGAAGCCAATGCTGGCATGCCAGTCCCCCAGGGGAAGCTGCAGGAGGGGAGGTAGGGCTGGAGCAATCAACTGGGGCTCCCCAATGCTGAGGGGGAGCCTTGGGTGCCAGATCCTCGCCTTAGGTTTCCTACCCCTGGTATAAAAGGATTTCCTCATAGGTAGAAATGTCATGTGGTGGGGAGGGTAGAAAGCTTATACAAGAGCCAGGTTTTTTGGAAGAAAGAAATTAGCTAAATTTAGGAGCAGATTTGGTGTGAGATGGTGGTAGGTTTGAAGAGAGAGTCAGAGAGGTGACAAGCTTCAGTGTCATGTGTAAGATAGGAATGTGAACGTATAACTGTGTACATGGTTATCCAATGACCCTGGGCTCATCAGTTACCATTCAAAGTTACAAGTAGGCTCCCAGTACACGTGGGGAGCCACCTTAAAAGATGGCTCCCTGCACATGCAGGCTCCCAGGTAGTTGTCTGCCCCCTAGTGCTGCTGCCTCTGAATCAGTCTGGCTTAAAAGCTGGTTCCCTGCTTGCAGCAGCTCCCATGGAGCTGACTGCCACCCTGCGTGTAACTATGTAACCGCTGAATAAGTAACCTGTAACTGCTGAATTTAACACATTTTAACATCCCTAGTGTCAGAAGGATGAGTTCACAATGGGATGAGCATTGGGATGATGGAAACCAATATGCAGAATGATGCTAGGGATTGGTAAGGCAAACAGTTATGGGAGAATCATGGTCTGGTAGAACCTTATAGACTAACAAAACATGTAGATGGTATCATGAGCATTCATGGGCACAACCCACGTCTTCAGATAACCGGAGTTATGATTAGACGATAAGGAAACTCGAAATATATAGGACTTAATGGGCTATGGAGCTGAACTTTAAAGTCAATTGGTTGAAGAAAGGAATGTGAATTTCTATTCCGCACAAAGTAATAAAAACAATTTTTTAAATTGTCCTTAAAATATGACTTTTTGTAAGAGTTTCTCCACAGTATTGTTTTTGCTTTTTATCAAAGCTACATAGTCAGGTACACATAGTTTACAAATTTCTCCTCATTTGGAGAATAAATGATGAAAATATTTGAAACTAAAATAGTGTCCTTTAGTTTTTTTTTTTTTGGTCCGAACAATTTTTATGAATGAATGACAGAGAAATAAGAATACAATCATGCTCTTAACTGTTCAACATTATATACAACTTACTATAATTTGTTGTTTTAATGTGTGGAAAGTACAGTTTATTGTTCCTGGCTCTAAAATTTTAATGGGAATTCATGTTTCTTCTGGTTTTCAGTACTGAAAATAATTGAATCTTATATTTCTGACTTTCTAAACAGTCTTCAGAGTCTTTTTCAGTTTAAGTGCCTCCAAATTATATCAGGTAGGGAGTATGATGGATGGTGGGTTTTTTGCAAAAACATGCTACATTAGTGCACGTTTCCAAACAGCTTTTTCTTCTGGAATAAAAACAAGCTACAGAAGTCATACAGGAGGATCAATATACATGGATAAGCAGACTTTCCTTAACTCAGTTGTTCTCTTACTCCTTTACTAGCATTCCAGTATCTAAACATTTAATACCATGACTATTGCTCATAAAACTCCTAATACATGTATAGGGTTAGAAAAGCAATACAAAATTAACTTCTAAATTAATGAAAGGTTTTTTGTAATATTTGGATAAGAGCAAATGCCTAAAAACTTCATAAAACTGCATTAGGTGCACATAAATCTCAAATAGTAATAGAAATGTAGTCGTGTTAGTCTGGTGTAGCTGAAGCAAAATACAGGACTATGTAGCACTTTAAAGACTAACAAGATGGTTTATTAGATGATGAGCTTTCATGGGCCAGACTCACTTCCTCAGATCAAATAGTGGAAGAAAATAGTCACAACCATATATACCAAAGGATACAATTTAAAAAAATGAACACATATGAAAAGGACAAATCACATTTCAGAACAGAAGGGGGGGAGGAAGGTAAGTGTCTGTACAAAATGGAAGAGATTGGCAACTTCCAAACCTGCAAACAAGTCTATCTGAATTTGATTTCTTCAAATCTGATAATGCCAAAGATTACTATAACTAAAACATGAATAAGCGGCGAGGAGTCCTGTAGCACCTTACAGACTAACTGAAGTGTTGGAGCATAAGCTTTTGTGGGCAAAGACCCACTTTGTCAGATGCATGTAGTAGAAATTTCCAGAGGCAGGTATAAATATGCAGGCCAGAATCAGGCTGGAGATGACGAGGTGGATCCAATCAAGGAGGATGAGGCCCACTTCTAGTAGCTGATCTGGAGGTGTGAATTCCAAAAGAGGAGAAGCTGCTTTTGTAGTTAGCAAGCCATTCACAGTCTTTGACACAATCAGCTCGGGATTAATCAAACTTGAAGATGAACTGTAGCTCAGCAGTTTCTCTTTGAAGTCTGGTCCTGAAGTTTTTTTGCTGCAGGATGGCTACCTTGAGATCTGCAATTGTGTGTCCAGGAAGATTGAAGATTCCCCTACAGGTTTTTGTATGTTGCCATTCCTAATATCAGATTTGTGTCCATTGATTCTTTTACGTAGGGACTGTCCAGTTTGGCCGATGTATATAGCAGTGGGGCATTGTTGGCACATGATGGCATATATAACGTTGGTGGATGTGCAGGAGAATGTACCAGTGACAGTATGGCTGATCTGGTTAGGTCCTGTGATGGTGGTGTTGGTGTATATATGTGGGCAGAGTTGGCACCGAGGTTTGTTACATGGATTGGTTCCTGAGTTAGAGTTATTATGGTGCGGTGTGTAGTTGCTGGTGAGAATATGCTTCAGGTTGGCAGGTTGTCTGTGGGTGAGGGATCATTGTCTAGGATGGGTTGTAGATCACTAATGATGCGTTGGAGAGGTTTTAGCTGAGGACTGTAGGTGATGTCCAGTGGTGTTCTGTTGGTTTCTTTCTTGGGCTTGTCCCGTAGCAGGAGGCTTTTGGGTACATGTCTGGCTCTGTCAATCTGTCTCCTCACTTCCTCGTGTGGGTATTGTAGTTTACAGAATGCTTGTTGACGATCTTGTAGGTGTAGGTCTCTGTCTGAGGGGTTGGAGCATATGCGGTTGTACCTCAGTGCTTG